TAAGCAGGAGCTTGATCCTCTCTCTGCTTGTGCATTAAATAAAATAACAAGTTCTGTAATCTAGGTAAAGATACCCACCAACAGTTATTTTTCACAGCATCTGCAAAATTCCTTTTTATCAGTTGAAAATGTCAATTTATGCTAGAAATACCACCTGGAAACTAGTATTCCAGATCAGACTGCAATTGCAGGAAGACGGCAGAAAGACCAGGTGTCCTGCTAACCCCTGTTCCTGAACTTGTCCATGAAAGTCGTTACTTAATGACAAAGAAGCCTGAGGTGCCCAGTTGAATTTTTCGCAGTTTCCAGTCCACACTGAAGACAAAACCAGCCAGGAGTCTGATGCAGGATGTAGTGATTGCTATTCAAATATAATCAAGGATCCTACTGCTCGGGGATCTCAGCAGATACTTGTTAAAGTCGGGGTGATATGTACACGGCCATATATGCTTTCCTGATAAGACATCTGTCCGGAGAGAAGCCAGTTTGAGAACTGAATCTGGGGTCCGTTCAGTGAGATCCTCTGTTCACAAACTCGGTGTTATCACTTGAAGTTTTTTCACGGATTCTGCCTCTTTCTTGTTTAAAATACATCACGGTTTTTTTTGTGATCTGCCATTCTCTCATTATTATCTACTTCCACCTATATTTGGTGCCATTTTTCTTTCTTTCAAGCCTCTGAGAAGATGTTTTTTGGCTTATTTTTTGGTGACTCCTTCACACTGAAGGGTGACCCAAATTATCAAGCAGGAAGTGATTGGCTCTCGCCACCTTGTTGAGTGAGTAGATTTGAACCCAGGTCTTCTGTCCCATGGGCCCGACAACTGTGACCTGTACATTAGTCTTTATGTCCTTGATGAATTGGTAATTAATATTTTTGTGTGGCCTTTGCTGCCACACTGGTTGATTCCATTCAGTTGACCTGTTCTATCTTGTTATTGATGATTTACTGATGAATACCCTCCTTACTTCCAAAAAGCCTGTATATATATGTGAGCAGAGGGCCTCTCATTACCTCATTCATGTCATCATAAGAAAGGATCATGTGGAGCTGCGGGTTTTATTCACACTGCAGACCGTGTGCTGCAGATGCTCACAGTGGCCCTGCTGGGACAGCAGTGGGCTCTGGTGGCACCTGGCCTGCTGCTGGCCGGGGGGGACTTTGCCCAAGTGGGGTTCTCCTGTTGAGGGTAGGAGTGCTTCTTACAGTCGTCCACTGGCTCATTCTTGTCACCTGTAGCCGCAGATAGTGAGGAGGGGAAGGCGGGCTTGCAGGATGACTGAAGCCAGAGGAAAACAGGTGAGGGAGGAGATGGCCACAGAGCCTGACGCCACTGGCTTCTACAGAATCTCCCTCACATAGTCTTTGGGGCTGCTTTTGAAGCACCCTAAATGCGGATTACAGATTGATTTCTTACTGTTGTCGGCTGGATCCTCTCTCTAGGATCTAGGAGAATCACATTCAGTCAAAGGGGTTCTCGCCAAACACAGGCACACAAAGAACACTGACTCCCCTCTGTGTCACCACCGAGATAGCATGGAGATGTATAGAACCCTGGCCTTTGGGCTGTCAGCATTTTGCAAGGCATGGCGAGTTAATGGAGCAGCCTCGTGTCTTTGTCTTTCAGTGGTAGGACTGGCAGCAAGAGTACGTTGTGTCAGCCCCTACCCTCCTGATGCGGACTCTCTCAGAACCCACTGCAGAGGAAACAGACAGTTGGCTTTAAGCTGAGGAAGAGCTAGCAGCCATTCGCACTGCAATGATGTCAGAAGCGTCTCTCTGCTAAGCTTTGAAATGCAGCTTCAAAACTCCTGAAAATATCCAGGAACTTCAGTGATGAGCTACAAATGGACTTTGGTATTGATAAACAAAAGTCAATATGTATAGTGAAAGGACAACTTACTGTGATAAATGGGCCCACCATCAGTAAAGATCAAATTATTGACTATCTAGGGCAAGGAAAAACCTGTCTATAGCTAACTTGTACAGGTGAGAAGAATTAGCCAACAACAGCACTTCAGGAAAAGCTCAAAGACCAGCGAGGAGAACTCATTAAAAACACACACCAGGCAGGCAGCACCAGGAACAGACATGCCTGGGGCGGGCGGGCGTGTGTGCACACCATCCCATGGGTGTGGATAAGCACCCTTGGGGCTCCTCTTCCAGTTGAGGACTAATTCCACTTTAGCCTCCTCCTGTCTTCCTGAAGAAGAGCTGCCCTCTGTCCCCCCAAAGCCACTGCTCTTCGATGCTGTCTCCGTGCTCCCACAGGTTCCATTCGTTGTGCTCAAGGCGTATGTACGAGAGCTCATGGAAGCACCTTCTTTTCTCTCCTCCTCCCCGACTGGCGAAGAGCTGCTTGTAAGGAGCCTGATCAGTATTCGCTGATGTCCCCATTGTGGAAATGATTCATTAGAGAAGCCCTGCGCACATGTCATGCCAGGGTTTAATGGTGAAACATCCCAGGAGACACCCAAAAGAACAATTGCAAGGATGCACCTACCCAGGGGGCAACGCCTCTCTGCAGCCTGCCACTCCCAGGCAGCACCAAGTAGGCATCACTTCTGCAGGACATTTCATTGGCTGCTCCACAGACTGCCCAGTGAAATTGACCATGCTTACACCACTTCAGATTTGGAAGCTAGTGTGTAATTAAGCAACATATCTGAAGAAGAATCCCCTCCGCTTCCCTGCCCACTCACACACACCGCTTTTCAGACGAGAGGTATACAGCTAGAACCGCACCTACTCTCCAGCTTTCTTGAGAGGTCTGGCATGCCGTTGCATCCAGGGCCACTTCATTGCCACCAAAAATGATCACAGATATGCATTTTACTATTCTTGATGCCTCTGTTATAGGCTTTTCCTTCTGAGGTCTCGGATTCAGAGCAGATTCTTCAGACATTTGGTGCCTGATAAATATCTGTTGGAGAGTGGATTAAGGGAAGGAAGGAGAGACGTGTTAAACTATGAAAGTGCAATGTCCTGGGTGACAAGTCCTGTGCATTTGCCCTAATAATAGAAATGCTGCTCCACTGGCTTTTAGGAAGAGATTTTGCTATGGAATTGATTCCTATTTTAAATACCAGTGGAAATACTTAAGAAAATTAACAAGCAAGATATACACAGATAAATGCAATCAAAACAGGCTTGGAAATTTTCCCCTGTATAAAGGCTTTTGGTGGCATTGATGTGTTTAACTATTGCATTTAAAACATTCCCCGAAAACCTATGGATTCCAAAGTATTCTGTAAGTGGGATTTATACTGAGGAAAGTTGAAGACAGATCTATGGGAGGTCGCATAGCCCATCCACGCCTCTGCAGACCCACATCAGAGTGGGCAAATCCAACGCGGTCTCCAGGGGCCAGAGCAGGAACTCAAGGAGACTGCACAAAGGTGACCAGAGGCCGCGTCCTCCGGGCTCTGGGGCCATGGAGTTTGGCCCCTCTGAGGCCTTCCTGGCCCATGCTTTGGTCCCTCAGATCCTCCAAGCGGATTTCCTGTGACAGGTGCTGCTGCACACGGGGCACAGGGACACCAGGGAAACACGTGTGGTGTCTACGTCCTATCTTCCCAAAAAGTTCAAATGTGCAGAATGAAGATGTCAGGTTTATTTATTTAAATAAGCATTTCATGCAATTCCCACATTTTGATTCCGAGCAAAGGGTTTTAAACCATGCTCACACTTCCACGGGACAGAGAAGCATCTGTCCTGAGGGGCCAGCGGGCAGACGAGGTACCTCGGGCCAGCACCATCTCAAGGCCTCCTCTGACACACGTGTGGGCTCGCCCTGTGACCGCTGAGTTCCGCATGCTGTGTCAGGACACCACAGGAGAGCGGCCGGAGACTGGGTGGGACACTGTGCCGCTTGTCCAGTGTGAGGTGCCAGGCTCCAGCCCCTGCCCTAGCCTCCTCCCCTCTGGAGGCTGGGAACAGCGTCCCGAGCGCCAACAAATGCTCCCTGAGGGGACACAGCCATGTGTGCCTTGCGTCGCGCTCATGGTGATCCACGTGGTGTGTGAGTGTCAGTGAGATCCCAGGAGATAGTGGTTGTGTTCATGCAGCAACTGACAACAGGCAGAATGTCCCTGTACTCACGTGCACACACGTGTGCGTGCGTGCGTGCGTGTTATTTAAGCACTTGGCTTCAAACAGGCGAGGAGGCTGTGATGAGAATCTTGCTTTATTTTCCTTTCCCACTGAGGTGCTTCCTGAAGACAATGACCCCTCTCCTGACACATGACCGCTACAACACACAGTGTGGGCATGTGTCGCCTGAGAGCTAAACTCAGGGAAGTGTGTTTTCCCACACAGTGTGTGGGTGCCACGCCTTTAGAGGAAATGTGTTTAGACTCCTGGGCTAGTGTCTATCTCTGGTCAATATTTCTACTTAAGAAATAATATCTAATGACCAGTAGTCAAAAGACCTACTATTTAAAATACCAGTGCTCCTTATTTTCAGTGTAGTCGTTCTCTATTTTAAGATTTATTTTTAAAGCTTTCTTTCGGTGTTAGTATCATTTTTAATTCCACAAAAGAGGACTGAAGCTCACCCAGAGCCATCATTAGCTGTGACTTGGGCGGCCAAGGGAAGTCTTCTCCGGCCTGGAGCGGATCCTCTAATTGAGCAGCCTGGTGTCCTCTCTGCGCGCTGTTGCCATTAATTGACTATATTGTTTTAGATTTATGCATTAAAAATACGATTTCTACTTCCAAGGCATCACTTTGTTACTTTGTAGCTTTTAGCTGATGCCATGAACTTATTTTTCTTCTAAGATAAAGTCACATCTATGGATTTTTCAACTAATTACGTGTCTGCCAATAAATACTTAGAGGATACATTTTATTTCAATTTATTATTTGTGTTTACATAGTGTGTCCCTGGACATATCTGTGGAACTGAAAAGAAATGGTTTAATGATGTTTGCTGCTGCTTCCTCACCTCCCTCTCTCTCTCTCCCTCTCTCCACCCCCCCTTCCTCTCTCCTTTTAATAGCTGCAGCCAGTCCGGTCAAGCATGACAGCAACTCAGAGGTGGCCAACTTCCAGGACTCGAAGGACGTGCCTGACAGATGCGTCTTGGAAGGGTCTGAGAGTCCAGGTGAAAGCCATTTAAAAATAGTCAAGTATAAAATGATGAATTTGACAGTGCTTTGGGGTCCGGGGGGTCCTGTGATGCTGTTTTCTCTTAGCAGCCGCACTGTCAAATTAATGGTCACCTCCAGAGGTCGCGGTGAGGAGCTGCTACCTCTCTTCTTTCATCAGGAATTCAGGCGGAGGAGGTTCAAAGGCTGGTGCCGAGAGGGAGGCTCACGCAGTTAGTTTGTTGTAGCCATTTTAGGCTAAACTGGTTATGCACGCAGCGGGCCGCTGTCACCATCACTTGGGAAGGAACAGGCAGAAAGGCACTGCAGTCCTGTCAGATGCACTTGAGCAGGTGTCTTTGTTCCTGGTTTTGGTGTGTCTTAATGACCAGTTAGTAAAGGAGAGAGTCTGGCAGCTGATGACCGGCACTGGGGTCCACCAGAGCCCTGGTGCCAGGAGGTCTCTTATTACTGAGTATCAAGCCGAGTGAGAGAGGCTGCTGCTCCTCTGCGGCATCGAGCCCTGGGTGCCCAGACCCCCTCATCCCTTGTGCTCACCCGCTTCGTGCGTTTGATCTGGCCTCTCCACAGCCTGTCAGCTTGGTTAAGAGATTTCCAAGTCCCGTAGCCCTTCCCTGACAGGGGCAGCTGCGAACAGTCCCCTACCCCTTCCCCGGGAGAGCAGCTGAGAGTTAATGTTCAGGGAGAGGTGCAGCCCGAAATCTGTGTCAGGTCCCCGAAGTCATCTTGGACCCCGTAGGCCCAGTGGTGATGGCTTCACACATGCCAGATTCCTCCAGAGATGGCCTCAGCCCGGCCTCCGCCACTCCTCTGCCCTGTGAGCCATGGCCCAGAGAGACAGCCTCGCTGGCAACCAGGGAGTCACGGCCAAAAGGAAAGTGTGGATCCATCTCACTGACAAAGGGTGCATAGTGGGCATGTCCAATGTCTGCGATAAAATTGTATTTAAATTACTTTTAGTTTGGACTCGGATTGTCTCATTCTGCATAGGTTTCCACAGTGTCTTAATCAACCCTTTCCCGTCAACCTTTTGTCAGGCAGTCACATCCGTGAGGCAAGTGTTTGCCTAAGAGTTCATTGATTTTGACAAGAGCAGAGCAGCTCTGGGCCACTGCAGAAGGAGAACACATCTCCCCCTTCCTCCGTAGGCCTGAGACTGCAGTGAGGTTCAGAGCACAGCCTGTCTGGCCGATGCAAACAAAGGGACATACCCAAAACAGAAAGATTAGCTAGGAAATACAGGTGCTGATAAGGCTTCTTAACTCCAGAGCGAGCATCTCCCAAGCCCCAGCCATCATTATGCTAGTAATAAAGGACGAATTGCCCTGGCTCTTTCCTCTGTCCATCCCTGCATTTTAAGACATCTCGCCTTATAGGCCTGCAAACCTCTGGAGGCTTCAGGACTGGTCTCACTGCTTTCCACTGAGAATTTGTGGCTTGGTTGTCATGGAGACATCGTATTTCTCCAAGAATTGCTCATATTGATCCGTGGCCAGGCGTAAATGGCCAGGCGAGTGTGAGGAATGGGGGCTGGGCCATCCTCGAAAATGACCAGGGCTGTAGGTTGGAAATCAGCTCATGGTAAGCACTTAGGTAAAAAGAAAGAAGCAGTTTGATTTTGTTTCAGGGTTTCTTTCTGCACTTTGGGCCATTGTCTTCATCCACGAGGGACTGAAAGAAACTTGTTAGCCACTTGTCATGTCAGATCGTTGGTGCTGGTCCTGACACAGCTGTCAGCCTTCAGCTCGGTGCAGTTCAGGGACACACAACAAAGCAGCAATGACATGAATTATTTATGGCTCCTCGTGTGGGTAAAATTCTGTGATAAGAAATTAAGACACTTCTCAAAGAGGTGCTTGTTTAGGAAGAAAGATTTTGATGAGAGTCTATTTCCTTCAAGTAGGAATGTGTGGTAGGTAACATTCTTACAGCAGAACCCAGAGCAAGGTAAGTTTGGTATTTCTGGTGTGAATTTGGTGGCCTAGAGGGACTTTCTTAAACTATGAAAATATGGCTGTTCACTTTTCAGTGTCCCAAAATAAACTTCAAAATATCAAGTCCCTCCAATGGCAGGGATCCAGAATGGCACACACCGCTCTGGGGGTTTTAGTTACCTCTGTTGACCACGTGTGATGCTGCTTGTCCAGAGCACACTAACCACTGCAGTTAAAAGAAAAACCAAATTTGGGGTTTCTCAAGGGTGAGATCAGGGGAGATGTCTTCACACCAGTAGAGGTGCTCCAGAAGCTAAACTTGCAATTTCGTTCATTGGTAATTTATTGTATGGAAAGGGACATATTTAAATCTGAGTGTGCCATTCTTACCGTTTCCAACTGGAAGATTATCACTCATTGGAAATTCCTAATAGCATTCTCATGTATGAGAAAATCCCCCCACAAAGTTGAAGTGCTCAGCCTTCTAACTCTAATGGGCATTGACCTTACGCAGTTTTAGCCATGCAATGCTAAGTGACTAATATATTTATTACATCATTTCAGATGAACAGGCGAGTTGTTTGAACAGAATACAGAAAATGGAAGGTCATTTTCCACGCAAGCACAGTTCACAGGCATCACTTCGTATACTGCTCTTTTCAAACAAAGGCTTTGCTTTGCAAATCCTCCACCCATCATCTTATGTAGCTCTTAGAACTTTGGTTGCTAATCATAGCTCTTTTCATTTCCAGAAATCAAGGACACTGAAGCACAGAAAAACTAAAGTAGAAATTTTTGAAAAAAGTTGAAGTTGATATTTTTTAAAGGTTGATAGTTTTTAAATCAAAATTTCAAATATATATGTGTATATATGTGCATTTGCATGTATGCATGTGTGTGTTCGCATATGTGCATGTGGGTATTTGCATGTGTGTGTGTTCACATGCATGCACATATGTGTGTATATAGTCATCAGACTGGCTTGGTGAGTGATCTCTGTGAGCCATGAGTGCTGAGTGCAGTCTGGACCGCCTTGCCCAGCCGAGCTGACTGCTGACCCATTTGTGAGTGGGCCGCGGTCTGCTCTGGGTCACCGTGCAGAGGGCTGGGGAACGCTGTCCTCCTCACCCTCCAGTGCTCAGCCTCGCCCACTCACATCCTGGCCTCCTTATGGCCGCGCTGCGTACCCAGGTGAGCACCAAGTCCATTAAGGCTGACAGAGCGCTGCTGCTGCTTTGACCCTGCCCGTGAACCTGGCAGTCCTGCCTGGCCCAGGAGTGGCCCACAGTAGAGTCTTTTCTTTGGAATAATTCATCAGCAAAGAGTTCAGACTCACAGGTGACCCCAGATTGGAGTTTCTGCCTTAGATTCTCTGGAGGATGCCTCCTCACTCCCTGGCATTTCTAGGTTCTGGGAACCTCTGGGAATAACTTTGATGTCCAGTAACAGAAGCACAGGCCAGCAGCCCCCTTTTCGTGTGATATTAGGGCCATTAGGCTTGCTATCCTGGGCTCCTTGAGGCCTGGTTGCTTCTGAACCTGAAAAATATTTCCACAAAAAATAGTTCAGCTGAGTCTTTGCTAGTTAACTCCAGTTTACTATTTCCTATACAGGGAATCATGGTCAATCTTCATTCCCCAGAATATTTGTTAAAAAAGGATTCCTCACCCTGCATCTTCACACTCATGGTGATGGTGTGATGTTCACCATTTCTGTGAAGTGTTGATGAGAGATCTTAGGCTTTTATCTCCCCATTTCTTGGAAATTAAAGTTTTACTTCCTAGTGCACTGGGGACAGAGCACTTACGAGTAACCTCAGCTGAAAACCTAGTGACAAGAGAGAACTTGAAGGCCCAAAAAAGAAATACATTCAGGCAAGTTTCCCCATCATTCTGAAGTAGATGATGATCAGTATGCATCTGCCATTAACAGCCTTTCAGTGGTTTTCATGTAGCACGTTTGGTGTGTGGATCTATGTACATCATTGTCAATCAATACTGCATTTGCATGGATCTGATGAACAAAGCTAGATCTCGCAGTTTTCAGAGGAGACGACACTGTAAAAAGCCAAGGTGGGCTTTTTCTTTTACTATTCTGGCTCATGAATCACACTAGAAACCAGGTAAGGCAAAGTAGGACAGAGTCGGGGCTCAGGCCAGCGATGGCGGAGCCTTACCAATCACAGGCTGGCTGGCATGGCCTTCGAGATGCAAGAGCCACCTCCGAAGCAAAGTGTGAGCACTTTCTTTGGGCTGCATTTCATGATATCAATATTCTTATTAATTTGCCCAAAGGGAAAACTGGGGCATCAATGTAATAATTTTTAAAGGAAGTAAAATTACAGTCTAATTTACACACAGAGGCACATGCATGCATGCACATGCACATTCAGTACACAATATTAGTTTAAATCAACTTTTTGACTTTTTCCTTGTAGAGTGGGAGTTAGTATCAGGGTTACAGCATTAATATAAAAATAGCTCATGAAGAAACAAGGCTCCAGAGGGTTTGATAGGCAAATGTGTTGAAATCACACATGTTTAGCTCCAAGAATAACCATCAAAGTAGTCCCAGGACAAAGTTTTTTGATTCTATGACTCAAATCCTTTTTCAACTAATTTATTAGTCTTGACCCGAAAGCTGCAGTTGGGGTTTCTCTAAGAACAATTAAGCTGCTTGAAATGTATGGAAGTTTACTAATTTCATACCAAATTCCTCTTGTTAGAAACATTCATCTTCCTTGGCAGTTAAAAAAAGCCCGAATCATATGCACAATTGCAGCACACCTGTCCAGTTTATAAGACTGTTGCTTCTTCTATTCACATTTTATTTCAGGATAGAAAAGAAATATGGAAATACAGGCCATACTTCCTCCCCTTCTGTCCTCCCATCCCTTCCTCCCTCCCCTTTCCTCTCTCCTCCTTCCTCTCCTTTCCTCTCTCCTCCTTCCTCTCCTTTCCTCTTGCTGGGTTCCACTGTATAACCCAGGTACTTGTTCTCTCTAGGTAAGCCCAGACACCATTCCTGGATCGCAAAGGTATGCTCCTGCAAGGTGTGCTGAGTGGACTTACAGTGCAGAAGCCCGGATGTCCCCAGTTACGAAGTCCAGTCCTGCCACTCACCTCCTATGGGAAGCAGTTCTGTCTATCTACAGTGGACTTGCTAATGCTCTAGCCAGAATGCACTGAAAGCACAACACTGATCGAAAATCCCCATGTTCTTCTATACAGTGATCGCCTAAGTCAGCAATGGCGAACCTTTTAGAGCTTTCACTGCTACAGACAGCCTGCTGTGGCATGCATGCCATAGGTTCGCCACCACTGGCCTGAATCATTCTCTATCCCTCCTTATTTTCTGCTAATATTTTCAACAAGAAATGCCAGCCCATAGATACAAACTGAACAGTGCTTTGGATTTGCTTCCATTTTTTCAATCCCTGAGTTATATAATAACATTAAAACCAATGTAACGCACAATTTAATCTTGCTTCAGCGTATGTAATGTAAAGCTTCAGCAAATTTGATCTGTTGGGTGAGAACACTGCATCAGTGGATGCCTGAATTCAGACCAGTGGCCACAGTGAGTCTCATCCCTAAGCATGAGATGCTGCTAACAAACAGGCAATTCCCTGTAGTCATCAATTAGCCCAGACAAGTGACACTTGGTGTCACAGTTGCCAGACTGGTGCAATCTAGCTCACTGAGGCTTCTGAGGACATGGGGCTACTGTCTTCAGCTAAAGCCTGAGCTCACTGGCCACAGAGATGTGGGCTAGGGAAGGGGGATCCATTTCTCTCACACAGTTGACTCTTCTTAAGTGGACGCGCTTACAGTTCTTTTCCCAGAAAGAAGCTTGTCTAGCAGGAATTCTAAAACTAAAATATGAGGAGTAATATAAATAGGAATTGACATAAAGTGCTCGTCTATTAAGGCTGTTAGCAATCTGATTTACTTGCTGCAATTTATATTATACCATTCTTTGATTTATAGAAAATCTTCTAAGCGTATTAATATGCATATATTATGAATACAAATATTGCCTAATCTATAGAAAAATGAAGTATTAAATATATGATATATAGCTCTCTCTACGAGAAAATTTCAGGTCCCTTCAAATCGTCAAACACTTTTCTGAGCACTAGAGTCAGTGTCCGTGCCAGGATGGGGACAGGGAGAGAACCCTGCAGTTCAGTGTGTGGTGTCTGCTGGCAAGGACTCAGCTACTGCCCACTCGGAATGCATGGGCCAGAATGCAGACACCAAGTGTGACCCCTCTAAGGAGGTCCAGGTTGTGCTGTTCGTTTCCTAAGAACGATGCCCTGTCAGAAGTTGCGTGTTGCACTTGCTTCGGCAGCACATATACTAAAATGGGGAGTTGTCAGACGTCCGTGGATACGAGTGACCCTAGAAAACTGAAACCTTTGGGAGCTGACCTGTGTATGCTTTCCTCCTTGGGCGGAAAAGTGGCAGCCCAAAGCCACTTGAGACAAGTTCCGAAGGAAAGCAGGTGGTGACTTTGGCGGTGGGCTTGTCTTCTGCCACACACAGCCACGGTGGGAAGGGCTCTGCCAGTCCCAGCACAGGTGTCTCATAAGTGCGCATCCCCGGGACGGGAAAGGTGTGCGACCAAAACCCACTCGCGCACTCCAGCTCTGGATGATTATTGAAGTATGCTTTCTTATTTTCATAGTTAGGGCTCTCCCTTTCTCAAGATGGCAAACAATAGGTTTTAACAGTTGCTATACTTAGCATTTTCTTGGGTCTAAGAAAACTAATATTGAATTCCTGAAAAAATACTTTATGATGCCACCGGCTATAGGAAATTAGAAATGGCATAACCCTGACTTTACGAAACAAGGAGTTTTATTAATGCTTTATTAATGGAGGCCAACACCATTAACAACCAAGAACTTTAATTGCTAACATGAGAGATTCAGAGAGAGAGAGACTGAAATGATGCGTGTACAGTATCCACATGCAAATGCGCTGTGACACAAGTTTGAAATCTGTCTGAACCGATGTGCTTATACTGACTGATGTCCAACATGCTTCAGCTCTTCCTGCTGGGGGAAGACTTGGCGGGAGCTGCTGGCAGGGAGCGGGACCAGCCACGTGGTAGTCCTGGCTGCCTGTCCCCCCGCTGCAAGCTCGGACCTGCTTCTCACGGGACCATGTCTTCCTGTCTGTCTGCAGTGGGCAGTGGGGCCACTGTGTCGACACGTGTGTTTGTATCTGTAATAAACACTTCGTTAAAATTATCTCGTGTTTCTTTTTTTATTGAGACAGAGAGAAACTGAGACCACCCAAAAGAATATCATATTTTCATGTTTGCAAGTCTGGATTCTTCCATTCTTGGTGGCGTGGCATGTAGTTGTGTTGTTTGTGGTTATGTCGTGTTGGCTGCATTGCGTATTGGTTGTGCCAGAGCTGCAGAAAGGCTCTAAAAGACTTCAGTGACCAGTGGGGAGCAGAGCCTCTCAGTGTGTTCTGGCCCTGGCTTCTGGCGCCTTCTATCATCATCTGAGTTGCAGAGCGGCCTCACGGGGCATGGGTCTTTGGCCAGGCATGGAGGCAGTCTGCACCTCACAAACACACAGAGGTGGCCTCTGGCCTCCAACTTTCCCTTCCTCTTAGCAACTAAGTTAACCCCCTGGAAACTGTCACTACAGAAATGTGATCAGAAGACATTTCTCTATTAATATTTGTGGTGTTTGGGTGACTTCTATTTCCTTTTCTGTATAACTTTGTCCATCTTCTGTATTTTTAAAAGCCTTTGGTAATTATTCAGTTCAACATTTTGGAAATGATACTGCTTCTTTCAGTATTTAGATGGCACGTAAAGATTTGTGCAACGAGTTTGTTTAAAATGCAGGTTCAGAAAACACTGATTCCAATTCATTCTAAAGTCTTCACAGAATTGACTCATAATATTTTTAATTTAAAATTGTTTAAATCTATATTTTAAATTTTGTTTTAGTTGGTCACTTATTTAAAGGCAGCATTACACACTTCTATTCTTCATAAAATATTGTCTAATGCATATGTAAATTGCCCAAAGTTGTGCTTAATTTCATAAGAAAAATGACTTCTTTGCAAACATTTGCATCACACTTAGCATTTGTGAAATTTGCAAGCTCTTCAGGAATCATGCCTGTCTTGACGTCAGTCTTCCGGGTGATGTTACCTGGTGTCAGGAACAGCGGTTTGTGGTCCCTTTGCTCAGCTGGAATCCAGCTGATGATGCAGCAGAAACCAGAACTGAGCAGGTGGCCCCACCCCATCCTCCAGGTTGCCCTGGGAGGGGGAAGTGCCATCCGCCTGTCCAGCAGGGCAGGGCTGGGCTGAGGCCTCCTGCCACAGCCCTTTTACTGACTTTCTCAGCCCTTAGCTGTGAAATGTGGATATCGTGGCGTTTTTGCCGTAATTAGATTTTCTGTGTTTTATTAAAATATGTTTATCTTGATCACTCTGTGTTTTACCACTTCCTTGTCTTGGGACCTGCTCATTAGGCCTAAGATAAATTCAGCTTTTCCCAGAAAGCATACTGCACGTAATGGGCTGTGACAATGCCTCATTGTAAGCACAATTATAATGATACAAATGGTAAGAAATAGTCAGTTTAATACCATGTGAAAACTGAAGGCATGGGCCATTGCAGGTGCTGAGGGACTTCCTGCAGTAACATGCAGGGACTCCTAGCAGGTGCAGCTCTTCCTGGACATTGTTGCTCCAGATGCCTTTTCCTAATTCACAGACACTGGGGATCGTTTGTACTCCACACCCTACGAATTGGAAAGGTAGCATGAGTTTCATCCAGGACACAAGGTTTTTAACACCAAAGATAATTAGCATTTGTTTAGTGCAACACAATGACGAAATCTACAAAGTGCCAAATGCCAGCACAACACCTACATTCATAACATCATGGAATGGCAATAATTGGGCGGCACGTGCTTCCGGGCCCATCGTTTGTTCACTTAGCAACCATTTTAATTGCAGTTATCTGTAGTCCTCCACCGGCTTTTTGATCTTACTTGTGCACTTCTAGGAAGGTGTTTCCCCAGCGTGGGGACACAGCATCCTGCCTGGTGACGCCTCTGAGGTAAAGACCGTCCATGGTGGGTCCTCACACAGGGCCGCCCTGGAGCCTTGGAAGAGCTCCCCTGTTACAGCTGCAGTGTCAGCTGCATTTCCTGTCAAAGCAGCCCCTCGCACGGTATCAAAGGATTGCAGTCCTTTTTCTGCATTCGCGTCAATTTATAGTTATGTTCTGTGAAAACTAATGTGCTTCATTTTCCCTGTTGCGTTTGAGTCTGCCGAGGTCTGGGAGCCTGAAGCGAAGTGAGGTTGAGAACTGTGGTTCTCTCCCAGACGTGGCCATGGCAATCAAGTTGTACTTGGGGCTTTTCTTTTTTAATAGAAAGGAAGATTTCCTTAGATCAGCCTGTTTCAAATATTCAGAGTATTTCTTCCAGTCTAACAAAGTCCAGTGCTGCGGGAGTTTCAGATGGAAGGTGAGGCAGAGGAAACATTCTCCTTGGGACGGCAGAGGGTCAGGGGCAGGCCGGGCCCAGAAGAAGCCCCTGTGGCTGCGCCCCCGGCGGAGGGCTAGGCTGTGTGTCCTCTCCCTGCCATGTAGGGGGCAGCAACACGCAAGGCTAGACGCTTCCTCCACCTCTCAGCCCTCGCCCGACACACACTCCGCCCGACACACACACTCCCGCACACACAGATCCTTGCAAGAGCGAAGGTGTGCAGGAGAGACGAACTCCTCCACGTCCCCTCCTGCCTCCCAGGCACCGCTTTAAGGCCTCGCTTACCTCGGGTCCTCAGGATGGGGCGGGGGGGGGGGGGGGGGCAGGGGCGGCGGCGCCGGTCAGCTCCGCAGCAGAGGCCCTGCTCTGCGCTCCGGCACACACACCTTCTGCTTTCTGTTTCTGTATTTACCAGGATCTCACTTCTGTACCTCCTCAGAAGAAAAAGGAAGAAAACTGCTCCAGTCTTCAGCTGTGTAAGCCTTCAGAGAGATAAACAGGGCTGCCCCTTCCTCCTCTGTAAAGACGTGGGAAGCCAGGAATGGCGCGCATGTGAATGAATCCACCTGCTCTGATGCTGCAGGCAGTGAGGTTCTGAGTGTGAATCCTGGGAAATGGCGTCCAGGCAGAGGCCACGTGGGCGAGGGCCACTCTGTCGCTCTGAGGAGCTCGTGAAAGCTACTGTGTGAATGATGTGGCTCCCCCTCCACGCGGGAAACTGTGAGGGGCGCCTGACCACGCCGTGACAAACCAGGTGGTGGTGGGAGGCACCGTCCAGGTGTGTTGCCATGGTGTCAGCCTGTGTCCTGCACACCAAGAAGTCACCAGAGGGCATTCTGCTCCTTGAGGAGGTGCGCCTGTGGTCGGCACTGTGCTCTGGGCGCTTTAACTTCATGATTCAAGGTCAGTAAAATTCCCCCTTTCACATCGCTATTTGGTATTTCCAGTCCTCTCCTTCAGATGCGGTTCTCACCGTCCACCCTCACTCTGATCTGCACCCGCCCCTGCTGAACCACCCCATTCCTGTTCAGCTCACACGTGGCATCACACCAATGTTGGTTTTTATTATGCGGTGCCCGTGTACCTAGTTGGGTGTGAACGTACCCAGCATGTGCACACGCTCACGGAAGCGAACTGGAGCCGCAGTTTAAGAACCTGCTTTCAAAGCTCAGACCTGAGCGCATACAGCCCCTCTGGGTGACCAGGAGCCTTGGGATCAGGGGTCCATCTCACCCTCGGGATTCCCGGTCTCGGCAGCAGTCTGCACTTCAGGCCAGGCTCAGACGGCCGGGCGGGAGGCTTTGACCCCACGCTGCAGCCTAGGCCCCAAGGCCAAGTGCTCACTGGCAGGGGACAGGGGCGGGTGGGCTAGCGCGGTGCCCCACTCTGCAGGGCACACCCTGCCCTCCTGGACACACTGGTGCCGTCTCACTGAGAGCTCACAGGAGCGGCGAGTCTGCAGCCTCGAGGCTGACACGGTGTGTGCGGTGTGCGTGTCAAATGTCGCTCGGAGAAGCGGGTGGCGGATCTCGGCGGCTCAGAAGCGCGCTCTTTCCCCTGTACGCTCTGCAATCCTGAGTGGATTTCACTTGGTCTTGACCACTTCCCCTTCAGTGTCTCCTACACACAGGGTAATTTCTTGGAAACACTGCCCGATTAACAAAGGGAGCCTTTCCCATTCTGGCTCTGCTGCTTTCCTAAAAGTAGAATGTCCCTGTCTTTCTACCTCAGCACGGCCCCTCTTCCTTCCCTCTGAGCCTGCCTCACACATTCACTGCACACAAAGGATTGCCCCTAGGAGGCTGAGGCAGGAGGACTGCAAGTTGGAGTCTAGCTTGTGCAACTTATCGACCAGGTGAGACCCTGGCTCCAACTACAAATTTTTTAAAGGGGCTGGGATTTAGCTCAGGGCACAGGCCCTGTGTTCGTCCCCAGGACGGGGGCAGGGGCAGTCCCTGCTCTGAGGCAGAGTCCTGCATATCTGACACACAAGTCCCCTTCAGCTGCACCTCTGTCTCCTGCCTCCACACATGCCGTTACCATGGGCAAGGTCTGTAGACAAGAAAATCCTCTAGGGGCCTCCTTAGGGCTTCCAACGAATCCCAACTAGAAGGGGTTAAAAACAAACTACTAGAGAGATTCCCCTGGGAAACAAGTCAAAGCCAAGGGTAACAAAAAGAGAAAATCCAGATAAAGGCACCAAGTGGCCTCAGGACTCGCACCAAGACCAGAGAAAGAGCTGACAGGCGAGACACAGAGAGAAGCCAGGGCACAGAGGATAAGCTGCCCCCCTCCAGTGACTAATGGTGAGGCAGTGTGCATTCACACCTACCCACTAACACACACTTGTACCATGTGTATTCACTCGAGACTCGCCACACTGGTGAGGTCATTATAGAGCACAACAGACATCCACACACCCATTACTAACCCTAAGCTATGGAATAAGAATAAGGCACCCCCGCCAACCAGCTTCCCGCCCCAAAGATGAGGCCTTGAAAGGCAGGTCCAGGACAAGTGAATGGGCAGAAAGCAGCTGCACAGAGACCACTGGCACAAATGACATCAGGCAGAGGTGGCCGAAAGACAGTCCAGCTATGCCAAGGTCTGGGATGGAGGGAGTCGCTCACCTCCTATAAAAACAGCTGGAAACCAAGGGTCCACACATCCTCCCTCTTTCTGGAGCCCCTACCCTGAGTCTTTACCAGTCTACTATTTATCTTCTCCTTTATTCCCTTTCCTTTTCCTCTTTACAAATGAAATGTCTTCCTTTCATTAAACTCTGTCCCTCTAATTTTCTTCTGGAGCTGAGTTACAGTCCCAGTGGGCTGCATGAACAGCACAGTAGTGGTGCTCGTTCCCCAGATGCAACATGATCATTAATTATGATCTGTCAACTTTGAGTAGGAACCACTAGCAGACAGGAAGTTCTAGGTGTGTCTGTGGATGATTGACATGTAGGTCGGCAAATGGGGGAGACCAGCCCCAGATGTGGGTGGCACCAACCAATAGCCTTGCACCACGGATAGAATGAAAAGGGAAAGAAGGACATCTGCCCTTTATTTGGAGGAGCTCTGGTCTTCTCCATTGCTTTCGGACATTGGTCTCCAAAGGAGTTGTTAGGCCTTTCAGTGCAGACTCTACAGTGAGCATCCAGTCCTTCAACTTTTGACTGACACTGGATCCCCCTGCTCTCTAGGGTACAGACAGCCATCATGGAATCTTCCATTTCTGATCCCACAGTCAGCCATCTTGGATTCTTCTGCCTCTGATCCAGCAAGCCTACCTCATAAATCCTTGTATAATCATATATATAT